CCCCCCAACCCCCCCACACTCCCCCTTGGCCAAGACTCTGCACCTCCAGCCCCCTCACTCAAAGCCCACCAAGCTGAAACCCTGCATCCCCAGCCCCCTCACTCACCACCATGCCAAGACTTCACATCCCAGCCCCTCTCATGCACCCCCTCTACTCAGAACCTGCACCCCCAGACTGCTCCTGCCCCCTCCTTCTGGCCAGACACTCTGGCTATGTCTAGATTGCAGGCTTCTTTTGGAAGAAACTTTTTTCCGAAGAGATCTTCTGAAAAAACTTCTTCCAAAATACACTGTCCACACACAAAAGCGCATTGAAAAAGTGATTTGCTTTTTCGAAAGAGAGCATCCACACTGAATGGATGCTCTCTCACATGTAAGCTATTATTACTAAGGATGGATTAGCCACCAGGGCACCTGTGCTTTTTCCTCTTCCCTCTTCTTTCCAAAAAGCTCCCTCTTCACCATCCACACACGCCTCTTTCCGAAAGAGCTCTTTCACAAAAAGGCTTCTTCCTTGTGGAATGAGGTTTACCAAAGCTGGGAAAACCCCTCTGTTCTTTCTCTTTAATTTCAAAATAACATGCTTGCAATGTGGACATAACTGGAGTTTTTTCAGAAAAAGGGCTGTTTTTCCAAAAAAAACCTCTGGGCTGTGTCTACATTGGCATCCTTTTCTGTAAAAGGGATGCTAATGAGACCAGTCGGAATTGCAAATGCCACGGGGGATTTAAATATCCCCCGCGGCATTTGCATGAACACGGCTGCCGCTTTTTTCCAGCTCGGGGTTTTGCCGGAGAAAAGCGCCAGTCTAGACAGGATCTTGCGGAAAATAAACCCTTTTCCGGAAGATCCCTTATTCCTTGAAAGCAGTTTCAGTATTTTGGATACCAGTAGAGGATTTATGACTAGAATTGATTGGATACTTACTGATCTGGGTGTGAGCAAACACGAGTTCATTAGCATCTGGAGCAGAGAATTCTCACCAGGCAGTGCTTTCCTGTTTTCAGTATTGTAGGGTAAACTGAGGCAGTCCATGGTATCTTGCTGAGAACTGACAAACTCAAACCTGAAATTATTAGGCTAGGCATGGGCAGCTCACAGATAGAAGTTACCGACCCTGGTTCCCCTGGCAACTACATTCCAAAGGGGCCTCCATTTGATAAGGCCGGAGCCAAACAACCACGCGGGATTGTTTTTCATTGTCTGCTTTGTTCCTAGAAAATAAGCTTGGCTCTCAAAGATCGCGTCAAAGCAATACCACCTCCGCAGGAAATGCATTATATTTCCGGCCGACAAAATGACCATCAACACGCCTTTGTTTATGTTGGCTCATTTAGCTTGTTAGGATTAACTACCTGTATTAGCGATAATATGTTTAATTGGCAACGGGCGGAGATGCTGTGTAACTTTTGTAGTCATTGGCTTATGTGCATATCTCACTTCCGCTGCTAGACCTATCAAATCACTTCTCCTCCGTCCATCTGCTACATGTATAATCTAATGTATGTTTTGGTTAAGGTAGTGCTCACCAGGTTATCCCCTGATGGGTACTCCACCAGCTGTGTGAACCAATAACTCCTCTGTTTGAGTTTCACCTGCACGCAGCATGTCCGGAATCATTCCCTACAGCTACGTCTAGACTGGCTACGTCTAGACTGGCATGATTCCCTACGGCTACGTCTAGACTGGCAAAACTTTTCCATTAAAAGCATTTGCGGAAAAGAGCGTCTAGATTGGCAGGATGCTTTTCCGCAAAAGCACTTTTTGCAGAAAAGCATCCGTGGCCAATCTAGATGCGCTTTTCCGCAAAAAAGCCCCAATCGCCATTTTCGCCATCGGGGCTTTTTTGCGGAAAACAAATCTGAGCTGTCTACACTGGCCCTTTTGCGCAAAAGTTTTGTGCAAAAGGGACTTTTGCCCGAACGGGAGCAGCATAGTATTTCTGCAAAAAGCACTGATTTCTTACAGTAGGAAGTCAGTGCTTTTGCGGAAATTCAAGCGGCCAGTGTAGACAGCTGGCAAGTTTTTCCGGAAAAGCGGCTGATTTTCCGGAAAAACTGGCCAGTCTAGACACAGCCTACAAGTATCTCATAGTTCAGTGCGGTCCATGCTTTGGACATGCTGATCTCTATTCTGTGTGTCTAATGGAGATGTCTCTGTCCTATCTTCAATGCAGATGAGCCTGGAGTGTTTCCTTAATCCTATCACCCTGGTCTGGAGGAATTCAGTGGTTCAAGCAGAGCATAAGTGAGTGTGTGTGTGCGTGTGTGTGTGCGCGCTCTGCGCCATCCCTTCCGGGTTGGGGCTGCTCTAGCTCTGGCTCCCGCTTAAAACCCTGTGGGGCTGCTGGGGGTCGGTCCCCTCCTCCATACATAACCGCCTGTTCATTGCTATGTGTAACACTGTCATGTCACCAGGAGCTGCCTGCTGGCAGCAGGGTGCTGTCCCAATCTGTTCAGTCTCTCCTCACACAGCACCTTTCAGGGGGCTGTAATCATTTTCACTGCCTGGCTTGGAAATCGCCCCATGTCCCCTACGTCTTTTTGGAGTAGGAGGACCAAAAGTGAGCACGGCCAGCCGTGCAGGGGAGGGCAACCTCTCATCTTACAGAATGGCATGAAAATCCAGGTTCTCAACGAATTGTAGTTAATTCTGAACTATGTATGGCTTTATACTTGGTAAAGATAATTGCTTTGCTTTTTTCATTTATAGATTCCAGAATCTATTTGACCATAAT